AGGAAATTGTGAGGGGAGAAAAATGTGAGGAGAGGAAAAATGGGGAATTGTGAGGAGAGGAAAAATGCAGAAAGTGTGAGGGGAAAAAAAGGTGGGAAATGTGAGAGGAGAAAAATGTGAGGAGAGGAAAAAGATAAAGAATTGTGAGGAGAGGAAAAATGCAGAAAGTGTGGGGGAAATAAGGTGGGAAAGTGTGAGGGGAGAAAAAGGGAGGAAAATATGTAGAGAGAAAAAGGGATTAAAATATGAGGCAAGGTGTGGAGGGAAGTCATGAGGGGACACGCATTTCAAAGTGTTTCTGACTCCATTTCCAAAATTCTAACTACAATTTTTTTTTTTGAAGTGGTCGTCAGCTGGCTTTGCCTCCTTTTAAACCCATTTCAGAGGTTTTTTTAATCCAATTTTTTTTCCCCCCCTCAATTTTAACGTTTTTGGTCATTTCTAGCAGCGATTAGCATGAAGAGGAAAAGGATTCTTCAATTTGTAATCCTGGTATCTGGAATTCAGGATTCTTCTCCACAATTTCTAATCCTCCTTTCAGCAATTTCATTTTCAGCTGTGTTTAACCCATTTTTGGTTGTTTCTGACCCGATCTTTGCCCTTTTTTCAGGAATTTCATTCTTGGCTGTTTCTAACCCATTTTTGGGTGTTTCATTATAAAAGGGTCTTTACCCTTTTATAATGAATTTCATTTTCAGCTGTTTCACACCCATTTTTGGCTGTTTCTGACCCAATCTTTACCCTTTTTTCAGGAATTTCATTTTCATCTCTTTTTAACCCATTTTGGGGTGTTTCTAACCCAATAGTTGCCCTTTTTTCAGGAAATTCATTTTTATCTCTTTTTAACCCATTTTTGGGTGTTTCTGATGCAATTGTTGCCCTTTTTCCAGGAATTTCATTTTCATCTCTTTCTAACCCATTTTTGGCTGTTTCTGACCCAATCTTTGCCCTTTTTCCAGGAATTTCATTTTCATCTCTTTCTAACCCATTTTTGGCTGTTTCTGCTGCGCTCGTTGCCCCTTTTAAATTAATTTCATTTCCAGCTGTTTCACACCCATTTTTGGCTGTTTCTGACCCGATCTTTGCCCTTTTTCAGGAATTTCATTCTTGGCTGTTTCTAACCCATTTTTGGCTGTTTCTAACCCAATGCTTACCCTTTTTAATTAATTTAATTTTCAGCT